GGTGATTGTTAGCATTCGCTACATCTTGTTTTTCTGAAATGGATTTGAAGAACCCAAGGATGACTCAGCATACAGACCCTTCGTTCAGCTGCTAACGGTCACTGTATATTTATAAAGCCAACTTTTAATTTATAATGCGGCCTAAGACGAGCAAAATACATAGATACCTAAACGGCCTGTGGGCATAATGCGAGTAGGAGGAGTTTTGGTTACTGTGAAACCCCGTTGAACCTGATTATGGCTATATAGCGTGAGGCACTAGCGACTCATGTGTTGCGCATGGTGACATGCGGTCGCACATCTTTTCGCTTTACAGCGAGAGCATGCTCGTACATACGCGATTTTAATCTTTTATTCGTCATTTCGCATTAGTTGGCCAGTCAGTCCAGATAGTTAACACAGCGAACAACTAACGTGTTTTATAAAGTTTTATGTGTTATAAGTAAGAAGTAAGCATATACGCCCAACGGTTAACCTCGGTCCTCGTCAACTCCGACACTTTATTCACATCGATTTCGCAAACTCCATTTTCCGTATTTATTCGTTAGGACAGCCATCACCAGCTCACACAATCCCTCCCATCGTAAGTAGCGGTTTCGCACTTTTATGACTGGTTCATGTCTTCATGGTCTCTCATCGCTCTCCCGTCAGATACTGTTGCCCACTGAATATGACCAGCATCCAAAGCTTATTGGCGCTTTTATAGTCGGTTTTTTCTCTGACAATTTTCCTGCTTTTCTTTAGTAAAATAACCACGAGACAAAGTCATCCTCAGAAAAGGTTATTTTATGCCTCCAATAAATTGAGAAAAAAAACTGGCAATGACAGTGCACTGCCAATTGATCGTTCGGTTTCCAATCAGGGCTTTAGAAGACGCAGATGTGATCACTGGAACAATAAATTTATTGGTCTGACGTTTCGGATTCTCACTCGAATCCATCATCAGAGACAGTCGCAGATAAGGGTAATGGCGGCACAAGGAGTGCAGTATTTATAGCACGTGGCTGCCGTGGGACCATATCTATCTTCAATCAGCAACCAGGGCTATTCTGAAGTTATTTCACCTTCTGTGCAACGTGTGTCTTGTCCTTCGCTCGCCGAAAACCTCAGGAAGAGTAGAAGGGCTTCCATCGAGTATTTCCTTCGGCTACCCATTGTGGCCTTTTCTACACCTCTTTTTAGCCCTGATGCGTAAGTCCTGGCTACACGGGCCGAAGGTAAGGCAGACTGAAATTGCTGTGACGTTCTGTACATACTGCTGACATGAGCGGTCAGTTTACGCCATTTCGACTTCATAGGTGGTTTGTTCGTCGGATGCAATGCCCGAGGGTGTGGCCGTTGGCAGCGCCGTCTCCGTTCGCGGCCGCCTTGTGCTGCGTCCCCAGCGTCGGCACCGGCAGCACACTGACCACCACCACCACCAGAAGGAGGAGGAGGAGGTGGTAGAATCCCCAGAGGGTGACTTTACAACGGACCTGGTCGCGGACGTGGTTCGCAACCTCTCAGGCGAACCCTCGGCCGAGGTCGGTGCTGCGGCCATCACGGAGGCGGACGCCTCGCTGCTGGGGGCTATGTCCGCTTCGCGGC